CTGTCTCTCACCAGAAGCGCCTGTTTCTTCAGGGGGAGGTGGTCTACTGTGGAAGTAACACGTCTTCATTGGGCTAACTCTGGAGAATACGAATGGGGAAAGATGAGCTCATCTACAATCCAACCATCTAGAGTCGACTTGCTGGTAACATGTTAGTGGACATCCTCACAGTGTTTGCCAGGCACACATTTCCCCCAAAATGGGATCCCTTAGTACGATTCCATCTTTATAGTCTTTTTAATTTTTCTGAGCTTAGAGTCTCTTATAACATCAGTTGTAACGATCAATCACACATAGCTGTGCTCTAACTTATTAAATCTGCTCTTGTCCACAGATTCCATTCCAGGAGGATCTTCATGTAGAAGATGAATGAACACCAGCCTGAGACCATGAGCTCCAGGGCCCCAGGACAGGCTGCTTTCCTGTCTCTCGATGGGGAGGGCGAGTGGGCTTTTGTGGTCGAGTGTGGCTTAGACGGGCTCTGTTACGTGGAGGTTTCTTTGAAATTGTTCGCTTCTGCTCATGGAACAAATGTGCCATTATTTGCCTAGTGTCAGGTATGTAAATGTTGCATTAAAACTTTCTTGAGGCATCTGCTGTCTTACAGTGTGTATATTTGAAATTATATTAGGGCATTATAATAAAATGCACTTTTGATGACATATGAACTGAGAAGGCATTTATTTGTATGAAACATCTTTCAAAGATAATACATATTACATGACATTGAGTTCTATTGGTTATAGATAAGGATTTTTTCATGATTTTCCCAGCTACCTGGAATGCAAAAATGTCATATTATTTGGAGTCCTCACTTATAAGGGCAGCAAGAAGTGTTCTGTGTTAATCATTAGAGGGTCTTTCACAATTTAGAATGTAACAGGACCCCAGGTGGGTAGCTTTGTTGTTTAGCCCATTGGTTTGCTAAAATGTGAAATTCAGGCGATATTTTCTGCGGCTCCACTTGCCCTGCTGTTCTCAAAGTTACGTGCACAGCACACAGACCCCCACCCCCGAAACATGCTGCATTCTCCTTCCTAAGAGAACTCTGCCTCAGAGCCCCAAATGTGAGGGGGGTCGTATTAGCTGCCCTTCTGAAATGGAAATCCCCACTACAGCAGTAGATCCAGAATCCATTTTTTATTCAACTTGGACAGTTCAGCTTTACTGCTTTGTTTGGGCTCTGTCATAGAGTCAAACACAGTGGTGAAGATGGGGGTTCTTCAGGATGGTGTATCCCCACCTGGCTTGAAACATACAAATGGTGTCAGCTTTCAACTGACCGGGAAGACATGACCCAAGGGGAAGCCCTTTTCACCTTCAGAGAACACTGACTGAAATTTCTGCTCATTGGTGTATTTATTAACAACCTAAAAGTGAATAAGCAAAACTTTTAGTTTAAAATATCAGGGAAAATATCTTTATGACCTTGGGGGAGGAAATTCTTTGGTAGGCAAAATCACAAAGGAAAAATGGATACATCTAATACATTAACAATTTAAAACTGCTTCTCAAATGTCTGACTACACTGTATAAAGAAAGGGGACTCTTAAAGTGAAGTTCACTGTAACCAGCCCAGCCCAAGGTGATTAGGCTTTGGGGACAGGCCCATAAATTTGTCAGAACCTCAAGTACCTTCTGAAAGGCAGCATTAACACCACAGACTTTGGGCTTTTGAATCAGCATTTAGATCCTAGCTCTGGGGTTACAGACCAAGCATGTAACTTTAGGAGGAGTTATTTAAAGCCTCTGAAGCAAAATTTATCTTTAAAAGTAAGGTAATTGTAACTTTGTAGGACTGATGGATTAGGTAAGGGATCTTTTGTAAAGGGCGTGGCTCAGAACAGGCGCCCCCTAAAGCTGGTTGTCCTTCTTCCTTTTTAAGTTCTCATCTGTGTCTATAAATTTTAACCTGATATCATAACAACGAGTGTGGTGACAAAATACTGTTACCTTAATGCTACTTGCAAAAAAGATAAGATTTACTAAGTAAATGCCAGACACTGTCTTGTTATGACTTTATATCGATTACTAATCAGCATAACCCTAAGATGTGGTTATAACCATTATCTTCACAGAATAGATGAAAAAAAAACTAAGGCATAAGTAAATTAAGAAATTTGCCCCAGCTCATACAGCTAGATAATGATGGAGCTGGAATAAGAGCACAGGCGGGCTGTGTTTTCTGTGCCTAATAATGAAAAATGAAAATGAGTAACATTTAGTCCCCAGTGTCCACCATGAATTTAGAGCACTGTTATGTTGCAAGGCAGACAACTAACTACTCGTTACATTCACGATTACGTTTCATTCTTCACAGTTACCAACAGGTGGCAAAGTTTGTCAGCCTACAGCATTTGCTGACTTGCCCAATACTTTAGAGCACAGCTGGCAAACACAAGGCCAGAGGGCTGAATCCGGCCCTCCACCTTGTTTTATCCGGCCCAGCATCTTGTTTCTACCCAGTGGCAGCACCAAGCTCTTGCTTAACTGTTCAGGAGTAGTTCCATTTATACAGTCCTAAAATTACTTTCCACCCTTTGAAGGCGACGGCAAGGCTGATGTGGCCCCTGGTGAAAATGAGTTTGATACCCCTGCTTTAGATAATGTGGTAGAGTCCGCTGTGGCTTCAAACAAGGATTAGTAAGTCAAGTATAGCCAAGAAAGGGTGACTTCTGAGATAAACTGTAAAATACTGGATTATTTTGCAGCAATACTGTGTTGTGCTTAGATGGCCAGACAGACAATACAGTTTGTACATCCATGTAAGCCTCGAATCTTCCTAGCAACATCCCTGCCTCATGCTTGCCCAGACTACTTGAATACCTCCAAAGACAGGGAGCATACGACTTCTTAAGGAAGCCCTTTTCACCTTCAGAGAACGCTGACTGAAATTTATGCTCATTGGTGTACTTATTAACAACCTAAAAGTGAATAAGCAAAACTTTTAGTTTAAAATATCAGGGAAAATATCTTTATGACTTTGGGGGAGGAAATTCTTTGTTAGGCAAAATCACAAAGGAAAAATGGATACATCTAATACATTAACAATTTAAAACTGCTTCTCAAAAGACATCATAAAATATTAAAAGCAAGTTACTGAGACAATTTTATAGCACTTAAAAATGACTGTGAAATAGTATCTAATGCATGTAGATATGTATGAAAGAGCAGACAACAAAATAAAAGGAATGATGGGAAGAATCTAGATGATCCCTAAGAAAAACAGTGGAAACCATTTTTATTAAACTTGATTTTCATTTGCTAGCTTGATAAACATTTAATTGTAATAATAATATTCTGTAATTCCTGGAAGCTCTTTCAATGTGAACAAAGAATGAGTTTGGGTTTTTTTTTAAGTTGTTTCATATATTTTTCACAAACTGTTTTCGAAAGTTACACTTTCAAATGTATAGACTTTCAAGTGAGCAAAACACTTGGGCTTTTACCATATTGGGCTACGATACATAGTTTGAATGGCAAGTCTCTTAACCTGAGCCTCGGTTTCTCATCTGGTCAACAGAAGCAAAGTCCACCTTACTGCTTCGTTGTAAGAAAGAAATGGAATAATACAATTAGAGAGATATGTGGTTAAAAACACCTGATGGTCATAAGACCAGTAGATTAGGCTCAACACAATAAAATTCATCAAATGTTTACTGAGTACTTATTCTTTGCCTGGCATTGTGTCCCCAGGTGCTGAAATTGGATAAGAGATAAACAAGACAGCTTTGCTTGTTCCGAGATAGGGCAAGTGGGATGCAGGCAGACCCAGGTTCTGGGTCGTAGCACTTTTATTTTATATTTTCCATGTATTCATAATAGGTCTCCCAAACTCCATGCTGGTTGAGTTGCCCCAGTCATTGTCCTACAAACTTGTAAACTGAAACTTCTAAAGCAACATGCTAAATGCAGCAATGGTGTTACACAGAACCTGTACGGAGGGAATAAGGAGGGGCTGATTAACTGTGGGGGGTGGGGTGGGGTGGGAAAAGAGTCCCTAAGGGATGATGTCTGGCTAGACTGTGGAAAATAAACGAGTTCTTACAGAAAGAAAAGGCAGAGAAGGGCATTTCAGATAACAGGAAGCATCACACACAAAGAGAAATTAACGGGAAACTCCTAGTTCCAGGTCCTGCCATTAATTAGCTTAATTTAACCTTTATGGAATTTCCTCAAGTTCCTCTGGGCTTTCAGTTTTCTCATCTCAGAAAAGCTGGGGGTGGAAAAAGGCAACCAAGATTTTCTAACTGCATACCTCCACACTGGAGGAGAGAGAAAAGGGCTGGCTTTGGAAATATCAAGTATTATTTTTAGGGCATGAGCCAGAAGCCCCATCTTTTGTGACAATCAAAATGACAGGCAGAACCTGTAGTCATTCAGAAATTAGTTCACCCACCTCACCACTATTTATGGCATTGTCTGAGCCAGGCCCTATGCTATTAAGGAAGCCATCCTCCAATAGAGAGAGAGAGAGAGAGACATAAATAATAAACAAATTCCATGGAAACCATATTGGTCTCTACACGGCAGGTGCATGGGGGCAGTAGAATACAAGTTCCTAGGGCTTGTAAGTCACGTTCAGGGTAACAGAATTCAGCTCCTAGGAAAAAAGGAATTTTTTTGTTTCTTCATCCTGTTTCATCTTCTCCAAGAGGCCGCCATCATTTTCAGCTGCCAATGTCCCTTGGCAGGGCGATGAGGCATCCTCTCTTCACCTACAACCTTTCGCAGGCCTGTGTCAAGAGCTCTGAGCACGCAGACTGCACGCAGAGTGCACGCAGAGCGGATGCAGGTCCCAGGCACCAGAGGGTGACAGCTCCCGAAACAGCTTCGCTCACACGCGAGCAAGTGCTGCAGGACTGCCCGGCGTCTCCGGGGAAATCGGGGCGTGGGAGGCGGGCTGTCCAGGGCCTCCAGGAGTCGGGATCCCAGCCAGGGGGCGGGACTCCGGCTACCTGTATAAGAGCAGAGCGCCACTGTCCTGGCCACAGTGCTGAAGCTGACGCCTCAGCCAGTACCTGGAAGCAACAGGCACTGAACTTGCAACTCTTGACTCACAGTGACCGAGGAAGAGCAAAAGGTCTGATATCTAGTTTGTCATTTATTTAGTTTGTTGTACCAATGAATGGAAGGCGGGCAGGGTCTGTGGGTGCGAGAGAGCTTGGCTGAGATTGGCCGGGGTGGTAGGTGCATCGGTACCCTCAGAGCTCTCGGGGGATCGGGGTCCAGCCCTGTCTCCAGGGTCCCCAAGCGCCCAAAACTCAGCAGCTTCTCTCTCCTTGCAGGAGCGCTTCTTTCACAACTCGCAGCCATAGACTTCTGAGGATGCGGCTCTTAGGGAAACTCCGCGCCTCGGCAGCCGGCAGCGCAGCCACGGAGCCGGCCTTCTCCAACGTGCTCACTCCCGGCCGCATCCCTGAGTTCTGCATCCCGCCGCGGCTGCCCGCGCCCTGCACGCCCGATTCCTCGCTCCAGGCCGCCGCAGTGCCCCGGCGGTGCGCCGCTGAGCCCGACCTGTGGCCCAGAGCAGGCGACGACGGCGCAGGACGCACGGACTGGGACCCGCGCTCGCAGGCCGCACTCTCGCTGCCTCACCTGCCCCGCGCGCGCACCGCCTACGGCTTCTGCGCGCTGCTCGAGAGCCCGCACACCCGCCGCAAGGAGTCGCTCTTCCTCGGGGATCTCAGAGCCGCCGCGCTCCAGCAGCCGCACGCCGCCCGACTGCCGCTCCGCCCGCGCGCCCACACCTACGGCGGCTGCGGAGGAGAAGACGCCCGAGCCGGTCTCTCTGGCGGAGCTCCCGCGGCCCCCGAAGACACTCGCCCGCCCCGGAACACACTCGCTCCGCGTCCCCGCTGCCACCGCCTTCTGCGCGCCTCCGAAGGGCTGCTGAGCCGCGCGCTGAGGGCCCGGAGAAGTCGCGGTCTGGTCCGCGCCTGCTCTGTGTCCAGCGGGGACGGGGACGAGGACGAGAACGAGGAGCGCGGCGCGGATTCCGGGTCGCGGGCCCCGACCTTCTCCACGCCTCCTCTGTCGTCCTCGGGCCCGAAGCTCGAGCGCCTGGAGGCCGAAAGCACCGTGACTCTGGATCACGCTGGGGGTGCCGTGCGCCTAGCTGCGGAGTACAGTCCGGCCAGCGGGCGCCTCCGCATCCGGCTGCGGCGTCGGCTGTCGCGTCAGCCTGGTCCGGTAGCCACCACGCAAGACGCGGCCGCAGCGCAGCACCGTGATGCTCGGGAGCCACAAGGCCGTCTTGGGCCGGGACTTCTGCTTCGAAGGACTCTCGGAGGACGAAGTACGCCGCCTGGCCCTGCGCATCTAGACTGAGAACAAGGGTGGTGACCAGGGGCTGGGCCAGGGCGAGTCGCTGCTGGGCTCTCTCCTGCTTCCTTGAAGGCGCCCAGGCCTCAAGGCCCTGCCCGCGGGGTGCTTTCTTCCGCTGGGGACTCTCGGACACTGACAGCCGCTTTGTACAAAATAAATGTTATTTATTTATTTTTCTATTTATGATCTTGCTTTATTGACATTTTATTTCTTAGATGGCTGCTTTTGTCATTGTTTATTTGTAGGAAAGGGAAAAAAACAAAAACTGACTCCTTCCTGTATTGACAACATCCAATCCTCCTTTCCAGCCTGGAAGAGGGAGAAAGGAACTACACCCCATGTGCGTTGTTCTTCCCCCGGTTTGTGTCAGTGCCAAGTGGTTTATGGGTTTAAAAAAAACAAACTATCCCTTCAGAATCAGGCCCAACTCGAAGATTCATATAAAATTTTACATATTTGTTGTGGCATAGGTTCATAGCTTCATCTTGCACACACATGCACCAAGCAGAGATATTTTATTGGGAAAATAACTCCTTTACCATTAAGAAGCAATAGTATTCTTTTAAAAGTAAAGCCTTCAGAAAATGCTGAGAAAAAGGAAAACAAAGTGAAGTATCTTCCGAAGGATGGTCACGCAGGGAAGAGGTACTCCTGGCACCCCCCTCTTCCTCCTCCAGAAGGAGCCCTGGGAAATGCTGTTTCGGGACAGAAATCTTTCCTACCTCCTTAAACAAGTTGCTATTTTGCGGCCTTATTGCCATCTACCTGTGGATCTAAGTTACATAGTAATGAATGGCTTTGCTATAGCATTTCCCAGAGGAGTTGAAAAGAAAACGTTTTTCTGAACCAGTTCTAAGAGTTTTTAAATCCAATTTAAATACAGTTTTCATTTGTTGATTCAACAAATAGACTTGAGTCCACTAGAAACTGATTATACCCGAGAGGGTTTGCCCATGACTGCAGGCATCTGTGCGTGGTGTGGGGAAAGCACAAGGCGGGGGGGTGGTGAGTAGGTGGGGAGATACAGACTGGTCTCTCTTCTGCCACTTACTACTTCTCTGAAGTAGGGAGACTCAGTTAGTCTCCCTGAACCTCACTTCCTACATCAGTGAAATGGGAGAATTAATACTTACCTCACAGGATTTTGTAAAAATAGGACTTAACATTCAAATAACCCTAGATACATATAAAATATGACAGTATACCTCAAAAGGCTTGAACTGTACTGGTAAGTAGGTGCTCAATAATGTTGCAGAAAATGGCCTCCCTCACTTCTTCATTTCCAATTGTTTCTTCCTGTTCCTGCAGTGGGTCCTAGCAGAGTGGACAACTCCTGAGCTGAGGACTTCAGGTGGCCAGGAGTGGGAGTGTAGAAAACCCTGTAGGCTCCTGCTGGCAAATGTCCCCCCAAACAATAATTTGCATTCCTTCTGCATCAGAAAGGCCTTCAACATTGTTATTACTGGAATGAGATTCTGGGTATAAATGTAGTCAGAACAAATGAATAAAACTCCTAGATTTTAAACACAATTTCAAAGTAGACAAATTAGCTCTTAGAAATCATCTAATTAAACAGCTTCTAAAATTGAGAAAATCCTGCAGAGGGGACTTGTGCAAAGCCACATAGCTAGTGACTGGCTGAGCTCAGACAAGAATCGGTGGTTCTGACTTCTCCAGAGGACTGGCCTTCCCTTCATTCTGTCGTTCAACAGAATGAAGCCCTATTTGTTGAGCCCTTACTCTGTGACAGGCACAGTACTAAGCCTGGGGGGTGCAGCTATGGACAAGACAGACAAGGTTCCTGTTTTCCCGGGACATCATTGTAGTGGGGATAGTTGAGCAATAGCCGAATTTTGTTATTACAGATTCTGGTGACTATCATGAGGATGATAAACTAAGAAGGACGATAGAGATTCTGGGCAAAGCGAGTAGCAGGTGGGATGCTCTCAAAGATGAGGAAAGGTCTCCTTAACACCTGAGGAAGGAGTCGTCCACAAGAGGAATTTAATCTATCCAAACAGCCGCGTAATGTACCCAGATGACCCTTAATACACCCAAACCAGGATTCTTGATTTTCCCCTCCCAAACATCCTCCTCCCTTAGTCTTCCTCATTTCTGTAAATGGCACCATTATTCTTCCTTTCATGCAAACCAAGAACCTAGAATATCCTTAACTTCTCTCTCACACATTCCACTTGTCTCGGATGTAAATGTCACCTCTTTAGAGCCTCCTCCCTGACCATCCCATCTAAAAACATCATCATCGTCATCACTATCAATGCTTTATTATTCTTCACAGCACTTACCACTACCTGACATTTTATTATCACTTATTTTGTTGTTGTTTATCTTCTCTTTCACTAGAATGTGTGTTTTATAAAAGCAGGAACTTTATTTCTAGTGCCTAGAAAAGAGTCTGACATATAGTAGACACTCAATAAATATTGATTATTGAATAAGTATAAGAAGAGATAGAATAAATAATGAAGAGTAGAGGACCTAGGATCAAGCTGTGAGACAAACCAATGTTTAGAAATTCAATAGAGGGGAAAAAATCAGTGTAGGAGAAGGAGCAACAGCAGCCAGTGAGGCAAAGGAAAGACCAGCAGAGTGTGGAGTCGTGGAAGCCAAGAAAAATAAGAGCAGAAAAATGCCTAGCGGCATTGGCAAGATAAAGGTTGGCAGTGAACTTATCAAGAACAGTTCTACAAGAGTAGTGACAACAGGAGCCAAACTGGGATGGGTTAAAATGTGAATGGAAGGTGAGAAAGTATAGACAGGACGTTTTGAAAAGGGGAGGAGAGAAAAAGGACTGTAGCTGGAAGAGAACACTGAGTCAAAGAGATGTATTTTGTTCTAATAGAAAAGAATTCAACACATGTTCGGCATATCCAGTATAGATGGAGACGTTAACACCTATCAGTATCTGCAGGAGCAGACTTTGAAAAACCAAGAGGGTGTCCAGAACACACAAGGGCAGAAGCAGTGACCTAGAACCCATGCTCTTGATCCATATATTTTTCCACATCTCTACTCTGCCATCCACAGCATCATTCCACCCTGAGGCAGGTCTCTCTTATAGTTTTCTGATGCTGGCCAGCAACAGCTCCGCCTGCTCCATGATTTCTCATTAGAGTCCAGGTTGTGGAGAAGGCCTTGTTTCTGCAAGCACTCGTTTGAGTCTAAGGAAGGCCGTACCCAGGGGGCTCCAGCAAATTTCTGCACCACCCCCCATGGTTCAGCTTTCCATGGTTTTGCTTTCTATGCTTTTAGTTATCCATGGTCAATAATGATCTGAAAATATTAAAAGGAAATTCCAGAAATAAATAATTCATAAGTTTTAAAGTGCATGCCATTCTGAGCAGCAAGCATGATAAAATCTCCCACTGTCCTGCTCCATCCTGTCCAGGACTTGAATCAGCCCTTTGTTCAGCATCTACATGATGTATATGCTACCTGCCCGATAAACATTTAGTAGCTGTCTTGGTTATCAGATCCACTGTCACAGGAGTAAAGTGCTTGTGTTCAAGTAACCCTTGTTTTACTAAATGATGGCCCCAAAGCACCAGAATAGTGATGCCGGCAATTCAGATACGCCAAAGAGAAGTTTACAGTATGATCACCCCACAAGATCAGTACTGCCTTTAAATGAAAAGGAATGTATGTATAGGAAAAAACATGGGTTCATATAAATAGGGTTCAATACTATCCACAGTTTCAGGCTTCTCCTGGGGGTCTTGGAACACATCTCTCTGCAGATAAGTGGGGGGACTACTATATTTTATTGGCCCAACACTCCCAATCACAAACCATTCCCTACAAGGGGAACAGTATTAGTCTTACAGTTATGGGGCCTATCTTTAGTTGAGTGCAAGATTAGCATCTACTGAGGGAAATGGTTCTTTCTGTCAGGGAGTAAGAAAGGGGAAGGGGAAATGAGGTTGAGTATTAGAAAGAGCAGGAAGTCTGAGGTCATCAGAAGGACCTAGCTTCCAATCTAGACTCTGCTACCAGGTGTGATCCTTGGGCAAATGCTTAACTTCTTTGAACCTCAGCTTTGTGTTTCCTTTTTTTTAAAATTATATTTTATTGATTATGCTATTACATTTGTCCTGATTTTCTCCCTTGTCCCCCTCCACCCAGCGCCCCCTACCCATTGTTTATGTCCATGGGTCATGCATGTAAGTTCTTTGGCTACTGTATTTCCTATACTGTACTTTACATCCCCATGGCTATTCCTAACTACCTATTTGTACTTCTTAATCCCCTCACCTCTTCACCCTGTCTCCCTCTCCCCCCTTTCATCTGGCAACCATCTGGTAAATAACTTCTTTTCTCTTGTTGCTTTTAAGAATCTCTCTTTATTTTTAACTTTTGGCCTTTTAATAATGATGTATCTTAGAGTGGGCCTTTTTGCATCCACCATAATTGGGATTCTCTGTACCTCTGGGCCTCGAATGTCTATTTCCTTCACCAAATTAAGGTAGTTTTCTTTCTTTAATTCTTCAGATGGATTTCCAATTTATTGCTCTTTCTCTTCTCCTTCTCGCACTCCTTTGATGTGAATGTTGGACATCTTGAAGTTGTCCCAGAGGCTGTTTATACTATCCTTTTGGATTCTTTTTTTCTTCTTCTTGTTCTGTGTGGTTGCTTTTTGCTTCCTTATGTTCCAAATCATTGATTTGATTCTCAGCTTCATCCACTCTACTGTTGCTTCCCTGTAAATTCTTCTTTATTTCATAATGTATCCTTCATTTCTGACTGGGTCTTTTATATGCTGCTGAGGTCCTCACTAAGTTCCTTGAGCATCCTTATAACCTGGGTTTTGAACTCTGCATCTGAGAGATTGCTTACCTTCCTTTGTTTAGCTCTTTTTCTGGAGTGTTGATCTAGTCTTTCATTTGGGCCATGTTTCTTTTTTTTTCTTTCTTTTTTTTTCGACAGAGGAGAGGGAAGGGGAGAGAGAAAGAGAGGGAAAGAAACATCAGTGTGTAGTTGCCTCTCACTCACCACCTACTGGGGACCTGGCTGGAAATCCAGGCATATGCCCCAACTGGGAATGAAACCAGCAGTCCTTTGGTTCACAGGCTGGCGCTCAGTCCAGTGAGCCACACCAACTGGGGTTCATTTGGACCATGTTTCTTTGTCTCCTCATTTTGGCAGCCTTTGTGTTTGTTTT